ACCGACGCAGCCCCAAACAGTTTCTTTCGAAACTATCAGCCTTTATTCGATCAGTTAGTTGTCTGCCTTCGTTAGGGAAAAGATGTTACTGAATATGATGCGATGCTGCCTTTTCCTTTTTTGCATGGGATTATTCCCAATTTTCTTTTGTAACATATTGACAGGTTCATCCAGTTTATGTGCTATCTAATTTAGGAAAGGTACCCATGAAATTTAAAATATCCCAAAGCTTTTATGAAAGCATGCTTTGAAACTTACATTTTGTGTTATCCTCTTCAGTCCATCGGTGTAAAAACAGCGAGATCTCAATTTATTCGCCGAAATAGAAAAAAAAATTAATCGAGCTTCCCCTTCGACAGGCAGCTGCTTTCGTGAGAAGAAGTGCACGAGAAATCGGAAAATAGCGGCACCAAAAAATTAAATACTTTTCAAAACCTATTTTTTTCCACGTAAATCACACATAATTATGGCCAGGGAGGTACTTACTTGCTTGAATCTGCTCAAACCAAATGTCAAATTTGAAGCTAATGGGCTGAATGAGTTAAGTTTCCAATTCAAAATCTATCTTAAAAAAGTCTGTAATTTAAGACTCGTTAAAGCTGCAGGTTATAGGCAAGTTAAACAAATTCAAACCGAGGAGAGGGGAGGGGGTAAACCGAGGAGAGGGGAGGGGGTAAACCGAGCAGGGGAGGGGGTGGCGGGGATTCACTGAGGAAAAACTGGTTTATTTCAAAAGACATATATAATTAAAAAATCCTATCAATTTTAAATTTCCAAGCATAAATTAATTCAAACAGTCATTTACCGATGCATCATCAGTCAAAATTTTCCTTCATTGAAATTTTCACTTTCTATGCCCATCATAATGCAACTGGCATAATGCTTGTTTTCAAACAAGAAAAAAACAAGTTATTGGATGTTAGTCTGTCCGTTTTCTGGTTTGTGACATGTTAAAACTACGATCACTTGAATTACTCAGTGTTAGTGTTACTCACGATGAAAATAAAGTCTTTGTTAGCCGTTGACAAGAATTGACAAAGTTTACCCTGAGTTCCGTAGTTTTAGTTGGGAATACTCAAACAGTTAACGGCTCCTGGTAAAAAGTTATGGAGTTTAACACTAATCACAAAAGTGACCACATTCATGACTCACCTGAAGAGAAATTGATCCCTAGCGAGCAAATTAAGAGAAGGTGAGCTGAAGTCTGGAGCCAAGTGTGACAGTTGAAAACGTTTTTTTTCAAATTGAGGATAGAATACGAATGATCACAGTTGGAAACAGTTGTTACTAGTTTGTGGGTCTCTTAGCATCAGTGGGCGCTGAGTCCAGTAACATAATACGGTATAAGTACCACTGAGAGAAGTTATATTATGGCATTCTTCAAAATTTTTTTTTTTTCAAAATTGAACTTTACAAAAAAAAGGTGGACAGATTAAAACTTTGGTCCTTTCAGTTTTTACATCATCTCTCGATGGGAGGCAAAGTCTTGCTTCGACAA